GGCGTTACGCAACAAGTCTGAAGGCTACTGTGGAGGTGCCATGTTTGGTTTTGCAAGAGTTGCACCAAGAAAGCATTAAAGAATTAATTTCAAATGAGGTAATTCCTCTTGCGATTGAAATCCCATTCATGATATATGATCGTTCATCAATCTAAGTAAAACCAGCTCCAAACTAATTACTCACAAAATACCACTCAGCGAATTTTTTCAAGCACTCCTGCTGTCATGTCTCCTGCACACTTCCGTTCAGGAGGTGCATTCCCTTCGCGACAGTAGAGTCTGATAACGTTGCTACTAGTGGAATATCAGTAGACATGTTTTTTACACCTCGACATTCGCCGCATTAAGAGTAAAGCATAGTTTGCTTAACAATTCCCTAATTACCTGTGTGTTGTTAAAATCGCTGCAACAGACGGTGTCGATTTACGTGAAGCGATGCCTTTACAAAAACGACCACTGCTCAGTGATTTTTTTAAGCACACTTGTTGTCATGTCTTTTGCACACTTCCATTCAGAAGGTGCATTCACTTCGCAACGGTAGAGTCTATAATATCCTCACTACTAGCACAATATCAGTAGACATGTTTTTTGCATCTCGACACGTTTTTTCCTCTTCCCTCCCCTCCTCCCCCACAAACCCCTCCATAACCCCACTTTACATCAAAATTCCATGGTGATGAAGACGAACAACGTCAACAGCACGGGTTAAATAAATCACCCAATTAAATTAAGATGCGTTATTAACCATCTGCCCATCGTCTTAGTGGGAATTAAAGCAAAGTAAATCTAACTAATTGTCGTTCCAAGTCAAGTCGAGTCATTCCAGAATCAACTTAAATTGAGGTAATTCCTATTGCGATTGAAATCCCATTCATGATATTTAATCGTTCATCAATTTAAGAAAAATCAGCTCCTAACTAATTTTTCATGAAATACAAATAAAGGAAATTTTTTTCAAGCAAACATGCTGTCTTTTTGCTTTCCTCGCTGCCTGCTCCCCCTCCCACCCCTCAAGGCTATTATCGGAGATCTATCTGAAGCTCTTAAACGTGTTTTGTAGGATTATGGCAAAAAATAAGTTTTCCTTTACCCTAACGGCTCTCTACATCCATTATGGCTCTCCACAACAATACGCACTAAGTACCGCCACCTACAACTATAGCATTTACTCAATCTGGTGACTTGACGCATCAAAATTATCAGAACCATCTACTCACCCTCGCCGCAGGGATCTCATCCTCCTCTTCCTCCTCCTTCCTCTCTCTCCCACATTCTACCTCCCTCCTTTACACTTTCTCCATCTCCTTCTTCCACCAGTCCAGTCCATTCCACTGCAATGTGATGCCCGAGGAAGCCAGAGCAGTTGTCTTTGAAGCACTGGAGCACTCACAAAGCATTAATCTTTCCCAGGAAGTGGTCTCTGTTTCCAATAACAAAACGACGCACATTGCAATAGACCGCACACCAACCACCGAGCTCATTAACGCGTAACTATTGGTGACACGCCGCCTTACTGAGACGCGGTATCCACCACGCAGACTCATGTTGTGCCACTCCGTACCGAAAACTCACCTTTACCACGCCACGCCACACAATTCCACCAAGCCACTGTCGTGTCCTGCCGAACCTGCCATCTTCCTAAGCCACACTACTACCATGGCAACTTCAGGCACGCACGCACGCCACACTGTCCACTTCAGTCGATGATGAAGGTCAGGCAGGAGAGGTAGAACAAGAAGACGCAGAAGAGGACTGCGAACTCATTCACCTAAACTAATCACACCAACAAATTACACTGCATACCTCTGTCTGGACAACCACCGCCAACACGACCGCACACACCGTCACACTGAAGCCTCCTCCTCGTCTGTCTCCTCCACAACTTACACATTCCACAACCAATCACATTGCTCAGCCAATTACAGACTCCCATCTTTTCTTTAACAACCACTCACAACCTGCGAACCACCTGGTGCGTGTGCCAATCACAGCGAAGCTAATGCCACATCCCCAATTGTGTACTTTTAACAACACCACACATTCCTTCACCGCCAGACCCTTTGCTCAATCCGTTTCAAGGTCGTTATTTTACCACGCTGCCTGCAAGCGACG